ATTGGGGGTAGGGGGTTCTAAAGCAGTGATCATTGTTCAAATAATTATGCTGCTCTGTACAGTCTAATAGCTATTCAATTCAAACTATAAGTTTGACATTTATTTATCGGAATAAACCCATCTCATAGCTCATAATTTGAAAAATATGCAACTCAAACAAAGAGGTGACTTGTAAGTTCCCTGTTTCTCTGCATAAGAAATAAGAAGAGAACTACTCCTTTCTACTGGAGGCACAAGTCTCATCAGTTCGGTATCAGGACTTAAAAGACTCCCAATTTAAGTGGAGGAATTACCAGGAATCAGCACAGAAGCAGAATAGTATCCCTCATCCCTCAGAGACACAGCTATTCAACTTTTGCAGTCTTCCTCCTCTTGCAGAAGTGCAGCCAAGCCATTCATTTCTTACTCAAAGTGTGTACGGATGAAGCCATAGATCTAAAGACTGTCCCCTCTGTGACTGAAATTGTGCTGTGTAAACGTTATATACTCCAGCAGGAGGACATTTGAATTTATTTATTAAAAAAAAAAAAAAAGATTAAGAATATTCATTAATCAAACAAGGCTATTCACACCCAAAGGAATTTTTGGAACTTATCCTTATGCTACTTGTAAAGTTAGCACTGCCATGTATTATTGCTTACAAACAGTACATCATCACACGCCTTCTGACAGAGCCCTACAGTTCCTACCTATTTACAGGCTTTTTTGTTTGTTTTTTAAACAAGCTATAAAAACAGTACATACTTTACAGACAATACAAATACTCAAGTCAAACAAATGGAATGCATAACAATAAGAAACGTCATAAAGGAAGACTGACATAAGTCCTTGATTGTCAAGACACATTTATATTTATATATAAACTCTAGCTGCGCAGAATCAGAGATTCAATCATAAGTACATCCTTATTTGATAAATCATATTTACAGCACGATATCGCATAAAAAAATAAAATAATGTTGTTTACACAATATTACCTTTCCATCCATTGGATTAAGGAAAGCAAGAAACAACTCTTAGAAATGTTTGCTTGCCTCAGTTTGTTTCCTACCAAAAAGATGTCATTTTAAAAAGGAAACGTAAGGTTTTATATGCCAAGTAGAGCAAAAGCGACTATAAAGTTATTTCCCTGACACAAAGCAATTTAAAATGGAAGAAAAGTTTAAATTTTAACTTAAAGACATTTCATTAGCAGTAATACTTTCTTAGTACTTGTCCTTTGCAAATTGAGTTTTAGCTAAATGCATCACATGCCTAACAAAAACATGCATTACTGTAAGTTGAATGAACTTTCAAAGTTACAAGGCTTCATTCTATTAAAACATTTAACACTAGGGAACTGTAACACTGTTCATCTGCTCTGAGACCAACCATGCAATCTGAAAGTTCACATGTGTACTGGTACCGACTGCTTGAGCATATTTCTGCCTCTTAAAATTTCCAAACAGATTCCCAGGGGCATTAGGATTTTCCCTGCGCTTCGTAACGGTATTAGAACAAGCAAACAAAGAAGAATAAAAATCAAAGCTCTCAAAACTCAGAAAATTTAGTTAGCAAATATACATACATAAGTAATCCAATAATGCAAAATTCAGTGTGGATTCATCCAAATATTCTGGTTCATTTCAAATAGTTACTACATATGATACAAATACTATAAAAATATTCTGAACAAGCATGGCATATAATGTATCTGTCCAAGTGGAAAGTTTTCATAGGAGAACACAAATACTTCAGAATAAACTCCAAAAGTTACAGTAGAACCCCAATAATTCGCAGCGATGCCTTAGAAACCCTTTACAAATGACAATTTTGAAAATATTGAAGCAGGAGGCAACAAAAGCAAGGATGTTGCATCACAAAATGTACTTTGTTCATTTATTTGGACAACTGTAATTTAGTTTTCTATACTCCTTGTACCTCCCAGTATACTCGTATAGATTCCATAGTATACTCGGGTGAAGCAGTACAGTAACTAAGAGGAGACCTCACCACAGTACTTTTTAGACCTTTGCAGAGAGGTGGTAAAGAGACCATGGAGGATGTATAAACCTATTGGGTGCTCTGATTAGTGGTTAGCGAATTAGCAAGATTTTACTGTACTTCTCAATTAACAATGAAAAGCTCCCACTGTTCAAAAAACTGACAAGTACCATAAAAATAAAAAAAAGCATACAAGTGTTATTTCACACGAATACTTTCCTGTCCTATTTTCCTCTTGAAACACAATTTTCCTAAAGACAACACTAGAAGACAAGTTGTTTTATCATCCAATTTAAATGGTTTATGTTGTTATTTGTAAACCAACATACAGTAATACACATGGTTAATCCTTCTCCCCAAACCTTGTAATTTATAATTAATTCATTCTCAAATCAAATGAAGAAAATGTAAATGCCTATTAGTATACCATTACAAGCTGATTCCTTCATTGTCTGTTATATTAATGGTAAAACATACCAAAGGATTCATGCTTAAAGGGACACCGTCAAGTAATTTAGGGCCAACATACGGCCTGCCAAGATGTGCGTCTATATATATACACATGTATCGTATAGATATAGTTTGGTAATAAATGTCACCAATTTCCTCTTTCTTAAAATCATCATTGCTCCACCACTAGGAGACATCCCCAAAAGATTCCGCCTTATACACACACACACATTTAGTGCTTGCATGACCTTTAGGTAAGAGCATCTGTTGTCAGCTCCGTGGAACAGAAATGCTCACCCCAGCCCACACTGACCACTGAGCAGAATCAGCACAAGACAGAACACAAAACCCAAGTCTCTTCTTTCCAGACATACACAGAAAACTAACAAACATCAACAGTGACTAGATCAAAATGAAGCATGTGCATCTGTAGCAGATTAAAAGCAGCAAAACATGAGCAGTGGAAAATGTTACTAAATAATGTAGTTATTAAACAAGCAAGAGCTTTTTACTTAGTTAAACCTCCCAGAACTACATAAACACTGATTCCAGAATAAAAGGGCATGTCCTCAGGAAATTGTGTCAGTGTCTTGGGTTAACTCCTCCAGTACAGAAAGCTTCAAGCACCAGTGGATCAACTACTCACGCCAGCACTCCACCTGTACATGCGGCAGAACCGCAGGAGACAGTCCCTGTGGGCTGGACGGGGACTCACCTGTCCTAAGGCACGGGGTGTAGCTGTGAGGGCTCAGCAGCAGGCTGGGCACCAGCTGCCACATAAGGAACAAGTTCCTCAGATGATTCCCACTTTGCCCCAGGGCACAGCCGGCTCTTCCACTCTGTACAATAGCTTGCTCCCTCACACACCCAAGCAGCAATTCCCAAGGGTGAAGATGGCAGGGAATGAGAGCTACTCCCCAGTCACCTTCTCACAGCAGAGTATCAATCCAGTAACATTTTAATATAAAGCTGAGCCGATCTCCTTAGGGAGGAGGCTTTATTCCTCTTATCTCTCTATGGGGCGAGAGAAGTGCAGTAATAATCTACCCTTTTCTTTTTTTAAATTTGCTTTTGCTGCTTGTTGTGTATAACAAGTAGTGCTATTAATGGCCATCTACTTGCAGCAGCAGGACATTAGAACAAAGAAGCCAGCACAGTGTTATTCAGGCAGCACAAGCTAGGATGGCATGGAAATGAAACACTGGAAGTGAAACGCGTGTTACAAGAGGCGGCTTCCTGGGGTACAAGGGCCGTGTGTATTATGTCTGTGCAACACAGAATGGAAAGTCAAAAAATCAAACTGACCATAAAGGAAAAAAAAACAGAGAGACATCAATCAGTTTAAAAATATTCTTTCAAAGAAATTTCTTTTACACGTATCATTAATAATCCATAAAGAATTTACTTTTCTCCCTTGATGCTCATTCTTCTTAACACAGGGCCAAATATTCAGACAAAATTACTGTCAAGTCATAGCACGCTGAAGCACCTTCCTATATTACACACAGGGTCAATGAACAAAACAGAATCTGTTTTCTTATACAAAAGTATTAAGTAAGAAGTTTACATAAATTGTATTTCTTGTCAATACAAGAAGCAAGCTATGGGTAATAAATGCACTTTCTCCCTCAGCTGTACCAAGTAAAGTCAGTGCTGTAATAGTGCTACTATAGGGGAAAAGAGACAGAGTGGGATCTGTTTCCCAGCAATGAAAATTAAGAAAAATATTGCTACTGCTTTGGGAAGAGGTGGGAACTGTTGTAAGTCCTGCTCAAGTCCTTTCTTTAAGATATAACTAGGATTTATTTTAGCTCCTTGAGACATAGTCTTTTTTCCTAGCTGATGGCTTCATCTGAGAGATACCAGCTAGCAATAGTGCTGTAAAAGGATGTATGCAACCCTAATTTTTTTTTTTAAATCACCATATACATACATACCTATATATACATGTGTGTGTGTGTGTGTGTGTTTTTCCCTGGTTAATCAGCCCACATGAGGCTTAAACTGCCTTAAACTACCAGACAGTGTCCCTTTAGGGAAGGTGCAATAGGATGAACATACAGTTCAAAAAATCTGTAACTTGTTAACTTAAACTACACAATAGTTATGCTACTCAAATCTTACCACCTTAAAAAAGCACACAGAACTACTTATCGTACCATATCGTATACTTCAAGACAAAGTACTACTCAAAAAAACATATTCATGGTACAGGGATAAACTTTGTGGTTTATTTATGCTGTGAAATGCAACGAAAACTTCTCATCACTCGCCTATGCCGGAAAAGAGAAATCCTGTTCACTAACATTATTTTGGTTGGTAAAATTGTACTGACTTTCACTAAGCAACTACTAAAAAGATCGGGAATTTGAATACCCACTTCTTCAGCTTTTGGGGATACTTCAATAAATTTAATGATCTGAATTGTGAAAATCCTAGGCAGAATTAAAACAGTTTTTACAGAAGCTACAAATACCCAGTCTCAAGTATCTCAAAAAGAATTATTGGAGCTGTATGAGATGAAAATGATGCAACCATATTGAAACTAAAAATGGTTTTATTTTTTGAGAAATCAAAAACTATCAAGTTGGCTAAGTGCTCTATGTTAATCATTATGAGTATGTAGGGTAAGGTACAATTAAGCTTTTAAATCTTGGAATACACAGTTTGTGTAAGCATTATGTAATTGGGAATGTCATCTACAGAGTATTTTAACCAAAACTTCAAAATCTTGATATCCGCGTATGAAAAAGTCATTAAAAAGTTACATCTAGATTCTGCTGTACAAAGAAATAATACACATTACTTCAGGAATGAAGTAAAGGCTTTAGCAGTTAGGCATTTTGCTTAAAAAGTGTTTAAAGTATTTTAAATTAATTAGACTTTTAAATAGTAGAGTTAGCCTATCAGAATTCATTGTTTCCTCCAAACACAACTGAAGGTAATAAAAAGAAGAAATAAAGGGCACGTGATCTAAAAATATTGTTGAGAGAGATGGAAGATTGTTTTTTTAGAAAATGTCGAATTTTAAAGCCATTATTTGCTTGACTTTGAAACTTACTGTTTATTCTTTGTGTTCAGTACATGCCGATTCCCTGCTGAAGAGCAACGAATATGCTGACAAGCTTGGAAATGACAATATGAATAGTATCAGACAACAAACTGTCCTCCCAAAGCATACAAGTAAACCAGTAAAGAAACAATCATGGGGGAAACTCTTACCTGGGGATTTTATTTTAAATTTCATAGAAGGTAAAATATTTTCTGGATTTCAACAAGTGAATAACGAACTGCCTTTGATAAGGGCACCAACATCAGGCAGTTCAATGACTGGTGACTAACCGGGGAAAAAAAAAGCAGGTATTGGTCTTGCTAACATCAGCTTACTCTTGCTTCAACACAGCGCTCTTCAAAGCTGTACAGAACTCCATCTTACACAGAGCAACCCCCTTTTGATAAGTGTGTTCTAAAGTGCCAGTATTATTTACAAAGATTTCCTAGCCAAAAGTCTGGCCCGTTGTGGCATCGGGTGAAGAAGTCATCCCAGCTCTGCTATCGTTTACATTCACCAAGGGAAATTCTGGGAAATCAGCACTTGTCCCTGGTCCCCGAAGGTTCACCTGTCCATTGGCAGTGCTAAACTGAGATGATATTCCAGCTCTTGCCCCATGGTACTGAGCTCTAAAGGGCTGCTCAAAGGAGCTAATTTGATATGCTTGGTGAACAGGCTGTGCCTCTGCTTTCTTCTGAGAAGTTACCTGATCCAAGAAGTCCTGTGTAGAGGAGGAAGAAGAATGATTTGCCTCATCACCTGAAAAGGGAAAAGGGTGCTGTGAATCACCGACCATTAGTCCAAAATGAGACTTGTCTGGAGTTGTTCTTAATGGAGAGTTCATTCCCGATCGAAAGCTATTGACGGGTATAGACGTGTAGACCTTCTCCATGGAAGGAAATGCTGGCTGGGTTGTAAGAGTCTGGTTATCAGTCACAAAATTAAGGCTCGTGTTGTTCAAATAGGCATCATTTTGGCTAGTTCTGTCCAAAGCTTGCTGTAAAAACTTGGAATATTCTTGTAACATAGTAGCTTTATCTGATGAGGACGCTTGAGAGCTTGTTCCAACTGTCTCAGACTGGGTGACCTCAGATACTTCAGAAGAATTGATTGATATGCTAGAGGTCACCTCAGTGTCAGCCACACTGAAAGATATCTCGTGTTGTCCGTTAGCCTTGTGCGAATAATGATCTAACAGAGTCTGCAGCACCTCATCCGGAATGACGTTTTTGTCATGGTTACCTTTGATTTCCACATTCAGTGCCTGCGTGTCCAATATGGAGGCTGTAGCAGTGTCATCGATGACGCTGGCCACAGCCGCCTGTGTTACTGAAGGCTGAGATGCTATGGTACTTACATTCAAGGCATATTCCCTGTTATTACTAGCTGCTTGTAGATACCTTTTTTTCTTTAGAAACTGCATTGCATCATCATAATTAGTGCTGCTGTGTACAGGTTTACTGGGCCCTTCCTGTAATGTGTCAACTTGATCAATGTCAGCATTACCTTCAGAGTCCAGTAAACTTTGCTTATCCACAAGATCAAAGGCATACTTTGAAACCTTGTTGTCTTCATATGTAGATAGAGGTGAAATGGTTTGACTTTGCTCAAGTGGCTGTTTCAGACTCCTCTTGCTGTTAACTTTCTTGAGAACAAGCTTAGGTGGGTGTATTTCTCCGGAATTTGCTTCTTCTAAGTGCGTTCCACTGACCGAAGAATGTGGCATCTCAACAGCATATTCTGCTACCATGTATTCATCTTTTACTTTAGTACTGGAAGAGTACAAAGGCAAATAGTCATTTTTGTCCTTCTTCTGTTCCGATTTATCCGTACCGTCCTTATCCACAGATTTTGCTTTCTCTGTTTTCTGCCTTTTCTTCTTTGGCAAGGAGCTGTCTTTCATAGGTGTGGAGAAACCCGAATCTTCCTCGGATGGCAAAAAGCCAACTTTGGTGGCACTTCTGTTCGGTTTCTTGTCGCGGTTCTCATGGCACATACGTTTGTGTTTCAGCACTCGATCTGTCCTGGAGAAATACTGCAAGAGATGATTATTATCCTTATTATTGTTATTATAGAAAAAATAAATATATTGGCAGAAAGAAAAGAAACCTTTCATTCTAAGAAATTTACTTGGCAGTTCATTCATCTGGTTTACCAATTTCTATTAAAGTGTCAAACAGCATGTAATCAATAAAATCAAGTGCAGAAGGCTGTCACTCTGCTCCACCTGTGCACCAGACTCACCCAACCTTTACAGAAAAAAAACATCAGTTACATGTTTATCTGTATGCACATGACTACAACACCTGGAGTACTATCTGTACTGCTTGGGAATTGACTGGTTTTGTTTCCAGTTGTGAAAGGTTTCACTAAGTCATCTTACCTGCAAACAATATTCACACTGGTAAGGCTTCTCTCCACTGTGAGTTCTTTTGTGCCTTTCCATGTGGTACTTCTGAATAAACCTCATACCACATTCATCACAACGAAATGGCTTTTCACCTGATAAAAAACACGTAGCAATGTTAATCTAAACAAATAAATCAGTGTTCTTCCATGCAATTACCAGGTCAATGTTACGTTCTTTATTAGTACTAATGAAGAAAAGAATTTAGTCTCTTGCTACTAAAAACCAACACAGGGCTTGCTCACATCACTATTTTCCCAGTACTCAGTAGCTGATGCCTCAAAATTATTCTAAGGTTTAACACTAAAAAAAAAAAAAAAATCCCCTTTAAATTCTTACCCTCTCTTTGCAATGTACATGAGATACATGTCTTAAACCTAGCAAATTAAGAACTGCAAAGGCAGCCTCCCTGAACTGCAGCCACATAGTGGGGGTTTTAGGGCAGACATTCGTATAAAAATACCTCACTTCTCTCACCAACTCATTAACTCAAACCCATCCCTTCTAGAAGGGAATTATGCATTTCCAAACTTTGAATTCATGGTTTTGTAGGGTGCTCTGTATTTTCCATGGTTTGTTTCCTGTATCTGTACATAGAACTGAAATAAGTGCTCTGAATAAAATCCTACTATTTTAGTTGAACCCAGTTATTTTTTTATTAATTTAAAATTGTTTTATTTTAAAAATTAAGTTGAAAACAAGAGACCTCTGTAGCTGAACTGGTGTTTGCATACTTGCAGGTTTTTCTGTTTGCTTGCTTCGGTTTTGGGGTTTGTTTTTTACTTTCATTAAATATTTGCTTGAACTCATCTTCAGCTCTCTTATTTTTCATCACAAAGAAGTCCTGTGATGATTCTTTGAGAACGTGGAATAACTTTATTTTTATCTCTTTTAACTTTTGCCTTGCATCTTCCTTATTTTTATTTTGTAGGTTTCTCTGACAAAACCTAAAATTTCCAAGTGTATTGAAAAGTTAGTTTTGCTTTTACAAAAGTTCACTATTATTTAATAGAACTCAGCCTGAACAACAGTAATCTTTTCTCTTAATGTTTACTATGAAATCTTTTGAACTCACAGAGATCAGGGATTGTCCTGGCAGCATCTGTCAACATCCTCTTTGTTCTGGACACTGTAGACAGTGCACTGATTTTGGGGATACAATCACCTATCTTTTGCTTCCAGAAATATGCAGACTATTTCCGTTTTTCTGAGGTAGTTTTGTTCTTTAAAATTATTTTATGAACTAATTCATTACTCATAATTAATTGTTAAAATGTTAATAAATTTTAATGTATTATTTAAAAGGTTGTTAGTGTACATATTCCATTAAGAACAGAGATATTTAGCCACATCCTTCTACAAAAGGAAATACAGTAATAAAATAAGATGCCAATATTTACAGAAAGTAAGATGGAAAATATCTGCATTGCCCACACATTTTCTCCTAGTCAGGTCATTAACGCCCAGAGTTTCAAAATTCCAAGAAATTTCTAAATCTCTCTCTTTGCAAGTCCATGCCCTATTTCCAATTATTACTTCTTACCATGTGGCTTCTCAGCCTATCCTTTCTTGGATTAATTTATTCAGACTCATGCTTTCCTAAATCGAATTATCTTCTCTCCTAAGATCCCTCAGCTTCCATCAGTTCTTTTTCTACAGGCTCACAAACTCATCATCCTAACTCTTCTTTCACATTTAGTCAGAGATGAGCACCTACCACTTCTTGCTAATTAATAATCACCATAAAATTTTCCTTTTTCCAGCACCCTTTATAAATTACAACACCTATCATACGATCCTCTCTTGTACAGTCTGTAAGAAAATCTTCCTCTCTTGCTTTTTTCTTAATTTTCAAACTCCAGCTTCATTCTTCATGTACTCTTTATTTGTTAGGCAACCTTGCTACTACAGTGTTTTACTTGCACCAAGCCTGTTGAGAGACTTTCTTAATCAAATTCCAATCGTTGGCTTCACTTTTAAAGATGAGTCAAGATGTTTTGGTCTCATTGTTCTTGTTTAACACATGGGAACTCTTCCACTCCCAAAGCTAACTACTTAACCCTTGTTACCCACTGTTTTCTTCCTCTCTGCTCCACTACTCTACTTTGTGTTTCTTTTAAATCACCCCTTCAAACAACTCTACTTACATGGTCTGGGAGTTTGCTTTCCCACTACCATAGACTTGTTTTAGAGAAAGGAGCAGGTGCTTGGAATGAAAACTATCCTGAGCCTTACAGAAGCCAAACCAAGTCAGAGAAACAAGACAACTCAGTCTTGTTCTGGCTTTGAAGAGTCCTCTAAGAAGCTATCCTGCTAACCCAGGAAATGCAGAACACTTCATTAATACACTTACCTTCAGCCTCACACCCATTCCTGTAAACAAACGGTCACAGTTCTTTAACATTTGCCTACTCAAGCTGGCTATTTGCTGGCAGAAGACTCTTGCAGCTACCTATCCCCACTTCAAAGCTTAAATAGGGCTAAACAGGGGTTATGAGGTTCAGCTACTTTGGAGACTGAGAGTTCGTAAGCAGGCACTGCTGGGCAGGCCTCAACAGGAAGAAAAGTCTGGGGACACTGCCCTTGAAATACTCAGCACAACACAGAAAATGACATTTCCAATAGAATTGCAGAAGACTCTGGAAGTAAGATTAAGAAACACTTTGTGAAAGTGATACCACACTTCATTTTTGCTTTAATCTTCATAAGGAATGTTAGAAAAAGTTTAAAAATTAATATGAAAACGTGCTTTCTATAATAATTCCTTCCTAGCAGAAGCCTGAAACTTCAGATGCCTTCTCCAATTTTTTTATTTTATTTTTTTTTATTTTTCAAACAGGATCTATCACAAATGGAGGAGATCATTAAAAACAACTTTTTACAAATGTAGACAGAATCCAAGACATTCTTCTGAAGCATCTTGGTGAGTGGGAAAGAATCAGATGTAGAAAAAAAGAGGTGAAATTTAAGAAGACAATAATTAAGTGCATTATTTATGAAAACAGTCTATGTTTTGTGTCTATGCTGGAAATCTATTAAACCAAGCAGTAGAACTATTTATAAAGTGTAATACAAAGACTATGTGTATGATGGCTGTAACAATCATAAACTCTCAGGCATGTTAAAATATAAAAAAGCAGAATACAAACTATAAAATACCAAAGGCAGCAATAAAAAGAGGAACATGACTGAATAATAAGGTGCTTGAATTGTGAGCCCCAATGTTTCTTTACTTTTTTTTAAATGTAATGTCATTTTTTGTGTTTAAAATGGAAAGTAGGGTGGGTTACAGAATGGGGACACATGAATGCATGAGTGGGTAAGGTGTGTAGAAACATCTCTACGCAAAAAGAAAGCAGACATACTGGGGAAAAAAAACACGTTCGGCATCTTCATGAGCCTAGTAAACTCAAAACATAATATTTGTGTACCAAGGACTCATCCTTCTCTTGCAACTGAAACAGTGATTTTCTGTATCATTAGTGCCAAGTTTAGCAGCAGGGTTCTAGGGCTGCTGCCCTCTTCTACGTACAATTATTTCTAGTAAGCGAATTTTGTATTAATGCAATGTCTGCTTTTAGATGCAACTATTGAATTATTTACACAGAATACTGCTGTTCATTGATTGCTTCCTAACTCCCTTGTAACATTTTATTTGAAGAAGTGGTTCAGAGAACTGAATTCAAATCACAGTGGAACTAGCTGGAGCACCTGTAAATTCAGGGCTTGTAACAGGCACAAAATGGGGCTTCTAAGCCCCACCACTGTCTTCAACTGGGTTAAAATAAAATGAAAAAAATTATAAACATCTTTAAAAGAGTGAGAAACATTCTGTTCTTCAGTGTTCTGAACACTGTATAAAAGCTAGTGCTAGAAGTGGTCATTCAGAGAGAGAAAAATGCAAAATAGAAAAAAATACAGTATTGAGTTTATAGGGAGTATTTCTTTTAGAAGAGCAGGAATAACAAATAGAAAGACATCTTCCAACAAAGTAAAACAGACCCACTGCTCATATTCTGGTGAAAGAAGCAAGCTAGAAATGCAGCTTTTCAGGATGGGTTCAATTCTGCAGTCCTGAACAATGGAGTAACACTACCCACACAGCTAAGGCCCAGTCGTGAACACAGTGAGCCCAGTCACACAGCAGTGAAAGCACAGCCAGGTATGCAGGATGCCAACTAGCTACACTATAACTGGGCCAGGCCAAAAATTAAACACTAGTCAAATACTTGCTAACTAAGCAGACTTCAAAAAAGCTTCTTCTGCTCCCAGAAGCTGGGTTTTACATGTTTTACTCCTAACAATCTACTAGTTCTCATGTAGGAAAATACCCATAATTCAACAATTTCAGCACAATCACCATCTTCAATTTTCTGAGAAACAACCAAACTATACCTCAGGATGCTGAGGAAAGGAGGAGGAAAACAGTTATCTAAAAAAGTCAGATAACAATATAGTTAATTTGTTAAATGACACCTTTTTCTCTGCTAAACAAGGACTAGTGTATGTAAGAGCTGGCAAAAAAAGACCTGCAACCCCACCACCACACCCTCCCTCCAAAGCTTATAATCAACCCAGAATTCTCATTAGAGCTAGAAGTTGAATTTAAAAAGATAACTAAATCCATTTATAAAATATTGGCAGTCAAACGTTAATTAACTATATCGCCCAGACTCTCATTTTCAAAGCTACGTACAGGGAATAATCCTCATGTAAAAAAAACCCAAAACTTCTGAAAAATGTGAAGACCGCACTTAAATTTTTGCCTTTTTTTTTGGGGGGGGGGGGGGGGCAGACAGATGGAATAGAGTGAATGAGCATTCTTTTCAAGAATAGTATCTACACAAAGTGGAGGCAGCATGGTTCACCAATTCAGAGCCAGAGGAAAGACTAGGAGCAGAACAAAGACATTGGACAGAAGAATGGAGAACTCTTCTGTGGCTGACTGGCTGAAGGAAACCTACTTAGTCTGGACTCATGGCAACCTAGGATACAAAAATCCCATAAACAACAGGGCATTTGTGCATGTAACTCCCTGTACACTGCTCTGAAAATTCATTTTGCAGAGTTTTTTCTCCCTCTCAACTCTTACACATGCACACACTGCTCTGCGTGTTAGTAGCTTTCATATCCATTTAAACGCTACAGCCAAGAAACACTGTGCACATTCACCAGCTCTGCTTTTCTGAAAAAGAGGCTGAGAAATTGGCATCTAGTCCAAAGGGACCATATTACAAAATATTTAAAGAGGGATTGAAAGGCCATGCACCAAAATGCCAAAAACCCAATGAAGCCAAACCTGTTAAAGAATGTGGTTTTGTGCGGTGCAAGAAGATAAAAAAATAAACATGTATAAACTTTAACTCTCTTTGGCTTAAAACTTCAGGCCTTATTTGACCTATATTGCATATTTTTAAACTAAGGCCCTTATTTTTAGAACAGTTCTGAATTAAACCTTTAAAAAAAAAAAAAAAAAGGAGGGTAAAAGTAAAGCTGATACTAATACCTTTGAGGTTAGGCATTTTGGCCATTTTAGTCCTGGCGCTTTTCCATCAAATTCCAAAATAAATAAGCAAATAAATACATAAATAAATCTACTGAAATGTAATCTGGAAATCCCCGTCATCTGAATTAACTCGTTACGACAAAAACTAGAACTGCTTAACAACCCTTAACTTCTGTGAATGCACAAGCTTCAGGATTGCTACTCCGGGGTTATTTACAGAATACGACTTTCAGATCTGCTTACCAGAGTTTCTACTCTCTTTATAGCCAAAGAAAAGTGGAGCAAGTGGAAAGCACAAAAGTAACCTATTTCTGAATTTTTATAACATCTGTTAAGTTAAAACAAACTACATCAGGGTTTCAGGCTGCATACCTATTTACCAGAAACCTTGCCTGAGTGGGGAAACAGTTTTTAAGCACGCCAGTAAAGATACTCAAGGCACTATACTCACCAGTATGAATCTTCTCATGCCTCTGTAGCAGGTACTTCTGTATGAAACGCATGTCGCACTGACTGCACTGAAATGGTTTTTCACCTTGAACAATATAATTCCACATCCATAAGTTAATAACTACACACTGTTGTTTCTGATAACTACTTTTGAGGAATATTAAAACGTCTATTAAAAAACCAGCATCTGAGCGAATTCCAAAAATACTCTAACACCAAAACCCATTAGCCTTACTAAGTATATGAACTGCAGAGTTCTTTCCATCAGCCTAAGAGTCACATTAAGACTAGCACGGAATAGTGACCTGAAATGGCTGTAATTTCCTCATGAACAAGATCAATCACGATGCTGGCACAGGACTGCATTCAGGATACTGACAAGCTATTATGATGGTAAGTACCTTTTTCACTTCTCCAACCAGAGAGATACCTCATCAGGCAAATAAGCAGCCGAAGCACATTTTACAAAGGGATCAATTTTGGCACTTAGGCTACAAGTCAACCCATTACTTTCTGATAAGGAAAGAAAAGAAACCTTGTAAACAGTTAGGTCTTCAGTTTATTAAACATATGTTGATTTTTTTTTTCTGGTATTCTTTTGACACTTTGGTGCATGGAATCTCTAAGCTTAGATGCCAAGTTAGCTACACTCTTAAAACTGAAATTCGCATAGAGCTGAAAACATTTTTAACATAAGTAAACAACTCTTTATATAGTAGAAAAGACAAATTTGAAGTCAAGCAGTACCTGTATGAATGAAGACATGTCTCTGTAAATGGTAGTTGGTTCTAAAGGCAGCATTGCAATGCTCACAAACGTGAGATTTGTGGGTTTTCAGACCAAGTGATCCATCCTCATTTATTGTAAGGATCTATTTTAAAAAGAGTAAAATTTGTTCTCACACTACCCTCTAAAGATGTCTTATTAACTACAAAAAAAAAAAAACATTAATTTTTTTTTATGCAGAAAATGTAAATATTTCAGATAAAACAATGCTAATTTCTACACAGCTACGTGTTAGGCTTTCAGTACACGTTTCCAATTGCAGTCCAATCCAACTTGTGTCTCGTTGTGTATTAAGAGATATTTTAACAGGACGGAGACAAAAGCAGCTCATGGGAAAATCAACTTAAAGCTCCCCTATGCACAGACCAGTCACTTTATTGCTACTGTTTACTTTGTCCGCCTGTTGGAAAAGATGCAAAATAACCAAACACCTCTGGGCACTGAACCATGAATAATCATATTTTAAAGGAAAAATGAAGTTATATTCTTTTTTCAAATCACAACTGTATATGTTTGCTAAAAGGCATTAAAACTTATGCAGGATAGCCAGACAAATTAGCTACATCTACATAATACCAGTAGTCCTACAGGCAAAATTATATTTTAAAAACCAAAACCCCAAAGCCAAACAATCAAGAAAATAGTATTATTCTTCTCCCTCTTCAGGTTTTTCACTCAAAGTATTGCTCACTAAATATACAAATTAGAGCATCTCCTTGGCGAATTCAACTTGCCACACTCAATTGCTTTGCTGTCAAACAAAGCCACTATTGTCATATAAAGCTGAAAAAAATTAAACAAAAAAAATTGCACTATATCTACCTTATACAATAAAGCTCATCACAGGTTTTCTCTAATTCGTCTAAAAGTAAACAAGCAAACCTCAAACTCTCTACTATCTCTGGCAAGAGAATAAGAAAACCAGTAAACAAATTACATTTCCAGAAGTCTTACTTAAGTGGAAACAGAACTACAAAGAAGAGCTTAAGTAACCTTAAATAAAACAGTTTAGTCCCTTGTTATTAACAAAAAATAAAAGTCTGCTAGGGAAACACATCTCCAGTTTGATCAGCTATGATGCTTTAGGTTTTATGATAATGACAGTGATGAGAAAGAGAGAGTCAATAACTGAAATAGTATCTCTGCAAGAGAAGCATATACTGTAGGAGCTACTTAAACAAGTTTTAATTCTGCTGCTTCAAAACTCAGAAAGAGTGAAAGTCTCGAGCTAACAAATTCTTGTGCATTCACTCTGAAGGACAAGCACATTCATACGTTTGTAAGACTGGTATGTTACAGCTCCAGTAAGTCACAGAGAGACAATTATAAAAATTGTTCTGTAACAATGAAACACTGACTAATGAAACATTGACTGATTACTCAAAATAAATATATGTTATGAAATGCTTATCATAGGTTATAGTGAAATTTTAAAGTAAATGTGCAGAAAATACACATAATTTCACCATTATCCTAAACCTGGGGTCTTTAATGTATCTATTGATTGTACCACCTCTTAAATGAAGAAAGTTAACTTTGTCAGTGCCATTTTCCTTATAAAAGCAACAAAAAAGCTTGTGTGTGTGTGTGTGTGTGTGTAGGTCTGTGCATGTGTGCATATGTGTTTGTGTGCATGGAAGAGGGAAGATTCATAAAAGCTAATGACTTTTTATTTATACAATGACTACATAAATATAAAATAAAATTTAAAATGTTTCAGTATCTTAATTGACTTCCATTTGTAAAAGCCCCAGCTGCTGTTTGGGTGGAAAATCCACCCCATTACTCTGGGAATACTCATTTAAACTGCAGTAGGCTCTCACCTATGTCAGTCTTCCAGTTTCTTTCTGCCTTTCTACTCTGGAAAGTTCGAAAAAGGGGGAAGAGAAAGACCTGAGAAAGTACCTGTTTAACAATTCTCCTGACAATTTTTCAGTCTTTTGTCATCTCAAAAGACTAACACTGACAGACAGGAAATAAAAAGGAAGCATGCAAGTATGTGTCTGTAGAAAGAGGGACTCATGCCTCTCCTACCTTGTCATGTTTCCATGGAAGTGATCTGAGGACATACTCAACCTAGATATCCTTTTTCTATCAAAGGGAGAAGGATGCACAGGATTTGGAACTTGCTTCCAGAAGCCAATCTGAAACAATTGCTCTACTGCCCAAGAACACTAGAGGTGCAACCTAATTTGACAATGTTTTGAGGAGGACTGAAGGGTCCCACTCCCAGGTCAACAAAAAGGAGGTTTTGGGAGTTTTTCTTGGCCTTACGGTGAGTTTTCCTTCAGTGTATACACAGTCTGGGTTGACTTCAGCGCAGGCTTATTTTAATGCTGCTGTGTGATAATATCTGATTTTTGCCTATCACAGCAGCTTGTATATGCTCTGTTTTAAGTCTGAAGATTAATACTGATTTGGGGAATTACTAGAAGATATAACATTGCTACCTCATGAGGTGGAATGATTCTGGTTTTATCTGAAGTGCGTCTCAATAGAAGAAAATTGGTTTCAGACATACAGGGATACATATTCTTCATGAGTAGATCTAAAAAACAAATTTTGAAGTAACAAACCAGCAGCTATGGTAAGAATCTTTGATATAAATAAATACATATATGAAGATGATTATGACCACAGGAGTATTCCCTATTGGTAAATTATTTTATATATATATTAGCAAGCTTTTTAGAATTTTCAAAACTACCGTTTTAGATTTCTTTTTAAAAACTTTTCGCTGCTATGCATGAAGCATAAAAAATTATCAGGCTCACAGAAAAGCACAGCTATTATTCGATAGATACAGAGTAATGATTTATAAATTGTCTACAAAGCTACTGACTCATAATTTAAAAAAAAAAAAAAAAATATTTGGAGAAAGAACTGCCTGGAGAGACAGATGTTAAAATATGTCAAGGGTTCATGTTACTAAAAAGAGTTCAAAGAAAAACACTGTTATATCAGGTTTTGTTTTGGGTCTCTGGTGAACTTCAGAACTGCATCTTTACTGAGCAAACAAACAATTTCCAGCCTAACTACTTCAAATGCTAATGAAATTAGTCATAGTCAACCAAATCTTCAGGTTCTTTTAATCTTGGTTTTGCCAAATCAATGTCTTACTTTTGCTGGTGAACGCTGTTTTCTTTTCTTCTTTTTCTGCAAATCTACTGGCTCTCGTATTTGTTTTTTGTCTCGTTTCTGTTGTTCAGATGCATCAGTAAAGGTAATTTCTTGCTTTACACTGATCTGTTAAGATACCAAGTGCCAGTTTCAGGTAAGGTTCTCACTACAGAAAAGCAACTTTTCAATTTTAGAAGATGACAAACTGCTGAAACAGAAAACCTTTTCTAAGGGCATTATCTTGTGGCTTCATTCTTTCAGAAATTTAAGTGAAAGGAATAATAAGTCTTATAAATAAAAAGGGCATAGTTAATTTCTACAGTGACATTTTGATGTATCCTTTCATTCATCTCCCAAGGTCTTTTTTCCTTCTGACCTGTGGTGATTTTGAGATCAGTTCGTATATTAAAATCACTTCCATCTGTAAAACCATTCAGTTTTTCACACCTATTTTACTTTAATCCATGTTGTTGTCAATGCAAGATTTAACAGAATAGTTTATTATATATTTAAGACAGAAGTATTCTTTAAGAAAAAAAAAGAAGAACAGTACTAATGAAGTGTTTGGGTTTTTTTTTTTCCAAAAAATATTTCTTGATCTAATGTAAGCTTTAATAAAGAGCGCGATACTCTTTTTCTGACACCTGAACCACCTGATCTACAGCTAACAGAGTAGTGGTTTAATAATGCTACCTTTCTGAAGATTATTCTCCGTGGATAAGGCTATCTACTTTTAAAGTCCTGGTAATTATCCTTTATGTTTGGAGGGTATGATGTTGAAACAGATGCTCTGTTTTCAAAAGGAAGTCATCTATATTCTCTCTGGGAAAGCTGAGGTACACCTTCTACTACGTAGCGAGGAGGGGCATATTTATGGTCATGTATGAAGTGTCACAGTCCAACCTGCAGTGTGAATGCAATTGCTAAGCGTCCACATACTTCAAAAACATACAAAATGCTTCCTATAGCAAAAGAAACTAAATAGTGCTATGAACAGCATAAACAGTATGCACCTTTTAATAACGCTGTTTATTCTGGTTTGTAGTTACCCTTGAACACAAAATATTTTTAAAAGAGCACATTTTAATGCATTAATTCTATGGCAACAGCCTGCTTATAAAATACTTATAAAACAGATACTTAAAGATTATACTTAATTGGCAAAATCTATCCACAGCCAGAGGCAAATGACATTTTCATAAATAGCATCCATTCATAAATATTTTGATAATCAAAATCCAAACAAGCAATTAATAGGTTCTTGCCAGAGTAGGATCAGACTGCCAGATCAAGCTGCCTAGTAATTTCTCCAATATTTCACAAAGAAGTTGCTTACAGGGACATTAACAGCATACTGCAGCCCTTGAGGAAGTCTATCTTGCGTATCCATGTCATCATCGTTTTTTACCGTCTCCTCATGGACCATGAGTTCATCATGTGAAATCATCTCTTGCTGCCGGAGTTCGCTCTCCTGTAACACTTCATCTGTTGCCAGAATCTCGGGGTGGGCCATAGTCCGATCCTGCAGCACCGCCTCCTGCCGCTCTCCCGACACTCCGGACTGGTCAGATACCGCACCCATCCCTACCATAGCCCTGGAGGACTGCATCTGGTCTATGCCACCACATTTAAGAAATAATCCTCCCAGCTTGTCTTCAATGTTCATTCTTAAGTGCAATAACCTACAAAGAAAGTTTTAATAGTAAACATCTACAATTGGTGCTCTTGCTTAAAAGTTTTTACGCAAAAACATTTTATAAGAACTCAGTCAGTACTCAACAGACACACATACACTCCTAAAAGTGACAGCCAAATAAAAGCAGAGAAGTCAAGTATCTTGCTTCAACATGAAAAGATTCTCCTCTCACACACATGCATGGGTACACAATTGAATATTTTCAAATAAAAAGTTTCAAACCCAAGTTCCTTCTGATAACTGCAAAATTCTGGTAATTAAGTGATAGCCAATTCTTCCTTCCCATACCTTACAAAACTGTTTTTTTCTACGTGCCCTTTTTACTCTGTCCCTTTTTCCATTTTGACTGTCTTCTACAAATGCCTCTTTCATATTGGTCCTGTTCTCTCTACTTCCTTGTCCTTTAAGTGCCCTTTCACTGCTGCTACCCCAGGGCATACTTTAGCTGCTGCAACATCTTTAATATCTAAAGGGGAGAGAACACTGGGCTGCATCAAAAGAAGCACGGCCAGCAGGTCAAAGGAGGTGATTTGTTCCCTCTACTCTGCCCTGGTGAGACCCCACCTGCAGTGCTGCATCCAGCTCTGCAGCCCTCAGCACAGGAAAGACGTGGGCCTGCTCAGGAGGGGACCCTCCAGGGGAGAGCCACAAAAGTGACCAAGGGGCTGAAGCACCTCTCCTAGGAGATCAGGCTGAGAGAGTTGGGGGTTTTCAGCCCAGAGAAGAAATGGCTCTTGTGGTCTTCCAGTACTTAAAAGGGACCTATGGGAAAGATGGGGAGGGACTCTTTAGCAGGGGCTGCAGGGATAGGACAAGGTATAACAGTTTTATACTGAAAGGGGGGCAATTTAGATGAGATCCATGAAGAAATTCTTTACTGTAAGGTGTCAAGACACAGGAACAGGTTGCCAGGGAAGTTGTGGATGCCTCATCCCTGGAAACGTTCATGATCAGGCTGGATGGGGCTTTGAGCAACCCAATATTGTTGAAGATGTCTCTGCTCACTGCAGGGGGTTGGACTAGATGACCTTTAAGGTCCCTTCCAACTCAAACCATTCTATGATTCTATGAAAACACAAATTTCTGGCTGAAGGTGTATGTCAAATAAAGAGTAGAGAGGTCAAATCTGTTTATAGGAAAGGCATTCACTTTCACACCCAGTAAGCAGAAGCATTAGTCAGGAAATAGGAATTCCAGTCATGAATAGCAACACGGTTACATTGACTTGCGGTACATAAGATTGACATAAAATCAGAATAGTATAACAAGTGTCATGACATCATTAATTGTTTTTTAACATACAGTGGTAGGCTTTTGTGAAGTTAGAAGTTGCAGTATCTTCTTATTCTACTTATTATATATGCAAGACAGGCTTAAGACTCTTCTTGGTGTACTGAATGTCCAGTCACAACAACCAGCCTTCTTCACCCTCCTCCACAGGCCTGTACCTCCTATTCATTCCAAAGTGCTCTGGTCTATTCCTTCAGACAGACAGACATCCCTCCTCCATCCCTCTATCTTCCCACAGCTGGAGGACAAAGGCTCTACAAAGGCTACAGCAGACACAGGGATGGAAGCAGAGCCACAGCAGAGTTGGCCAGCACGCAGCAGGCCCAGCCAAAGCACAAGGTGGGGTCTGGGGGAGCATTATGACAGCATCAGCACCTCTGGCTTTGAAGCATTCCGGAACCTGAGAGAGATGTGGTGTTGGTCTATTGCTACTCAGCACTTCAAAATCTGTCACCCTGAGAGAGCACCACGGTAAGAGGCCCCATCTCCACTCACACTAAGTCAGAGGCTAAGCTTCTTTCCCTGCAGCTCAACAGCAGCTCCAAACCAAAGAAAGCAAGGTGCTCTGCCTAGAACTGCAGGGCCACCACCCTGCAGAACTGCACCACCATCTCCCTCTGCCAGCTTAACAGCTTGCCAACACACAAAAAGACCGGAACAAACAAACGTACATGGAGTGTTTATATTTCAGTTTTCCTTTTGAACCACTTATCATTTTCAATATCATTCTCTTCACCAGGAAAATATTTTTAACATTCTCAATATACCTTAAGCATTTGTGAAGATTTACTTACATCAAACTACACTGGGTTTACAAAATAAATAGTGGTCTTTCTTCAGGTAGGATCCTACAGTACTTGGTAGGAAAGCAAGCCTCCCACAGAAACAGCTGAAAAAGATCTCAAAGTTCTACATCACACTTTGTTTCAAACAGTACTATTAGTCCTTAACCTTCTGAAAGTAAAATTCACTTCACTCCATTTCTTGCAAAACCAACAAAGAAACCACCCCACTACATACCCCAACAAATAAAAAAAAAAAAAAGTTTGACTTAACATTTTGTAGAAACTCACGTCATATAACTTGAAAGAGCATTTGTCCCTGTTCTCTCTCATGAGAGGTTCTAGTTTTCTGAATCTATCATAAAAAAGGCTGACGGACAGAATGGTCTGACTCCTCCTTGTTTCAAATATTTAAGAGGCACATCAAAGAAAGAAGCTTTTCAGTCAGTTAGGGCTTTTTTTTTAGGAAGCTTTCCTCTGCTGGAGGTCAGGAGGACAGTCACCAAGCTAAATCTGTTTATATATGACAATGTCACCAAAATCTTAATATTCTTCTTTCCTATGTAAAAAGTACATTCTATGGACCAAAAAATCCCTGTGACAGGAGGACAACTTATGGAAAAATCCTGTTCAGAACATTTATGCTTGCAATTTGTCCTTTTTGTTCTCTGCAATTCTAATGCAGAGAAGTTTGAAATCTTACTCTTGATTTTCACAGTGTCTTCACAGTGTCTTCAAATGGAGACAAAAATTCCTTAACGCCTGAGTGAGCTCAGGTAGTACTGACAATTTGGGACAAATTTACCCCCAAGTTAATCCATTTTATAGTAAGGGAATGACATTTCACATGTCTTCAAGGGAAAATGCACATCCAGTATGTCACACAGCCACCTGCAGACATTATATAATCCATGAAGTATGTTTTGGAGATAACTTGGAAACCATACTAATGTTTCTCAGCAGTAACACAAACAAACTACAAAAAAACAATCTGGCACAGCACTAAGGCTGTTTTGGTTTTTTTTTTCCACCAATGAAGATCTCCCAGAGAGATCTTGCAACAACATCCTAAAAGAAAATGAGAATAATCTTATTGGTGTGGAGTATCCTGTGCCAAGTAAGAAATGTGAGAAAGAACTGAAATTCTTAAGAATCTGTCTGCCATGAAGCCATAACAGGTGATGCAAAAGACCTAAGGTTGAGACTACTTTCTTAGGTAGGGCATTTTAAACATGTAGTTTGAAACTTGTAGTTCCCAAGGAAAACCAGCAGATGATTGATTGATTTCAGCCCTTACCCCTGGGGAAGCCACACGCAGGGTACACATCACACAGACTGCCATTCACGATGCTTTTTTTCCACTGTACAGAAATGTGGCAGCATAAGCTCACTGCAGGTTCTCTAGAGGAATGACGTGGACAGGTACTGGAGTACAAGATCTCCAGATGCTAAAACACACTCAAGGCAGAACAAACAGCATCAAGTGTGAGAACACGGTGGCCCTAATCTGTCTGCTCAAGCCACTGACAAAAACAACACAGAAGGTTGTTGCACACAGAGGATACTGCCATTCACTCTGAAATCAGGTACAAATTGTGGAAATTCTGGATTTAAAGCCATTTCCTGGCAAGAAGGTAAGCAAGCAAATGCAGATAGAGAGACTGAGCACTTAAGAGTGCAGAAGAGCCTGCTGCTCTAACCCACAGAGGCAGGAAGACTGGTGACAAGCAGAACCTTAGAAGAGCTGGCAAGACACGGCAGCTGCCCAGAAGATGAGCTAGCAGTGTACTGGTATTTATTGGTCCTGCAAGCTCTCTCAATTGTCAAGGACATGGAAACTTTTTCTTTCTCACCCTGACTACTAGGCTTAGCAGAATCATGCAACCAAAAGCACTCAAGTTGTTTTCCAGTCATCATTCTGAGTCATATTAGAAGCTGGTACAGCAAGTGTACTGCTTATCAAATCAGGCTTTCAAACACCTGGCTTTTCATAGAAAAGTAATGAGAACTTGTAATGTTAAGTTGCATATTCTGAGTGATGAAATGCAATATAAGTTATATGACAAACAGTTACTGTTTTAAAATGAAGAACCACAAAAAAATAAGCTATTAACCCAAACAAGAAGTATTCCAAATGCAATCAATTCAGTAAAACACGTGTAATTTGTCAGCTGACACCTTTTGGCTCACATGAAAGGAATCCTATCACTTAAACTGAGGATGAGAAGTGCTCTTGAAAGAATGACAGTGTGATAAAGCAAATGTAAGTTAAAAGCATTCAAACAAGCTCACTTTATCAAGCCTGCAACGATTAAATAAATATTTTAAGTGCAAGATGCACCTGTGAAATAAAGATCAACTTATTTTGAGATTATCTGGAGGGAAGCTACAATAATGCAAACCACACACTAACACGCACAAGCACGTTTCTTGGCGCCAGACATTGCTACCCTTGTTGCAGAGGTGTTTTCCATGGAAGTTCAGAACTTCTTTTAAACTTCTCCAAATAATCACATGATTTTTCTCCAAATATATGGTTTCTCTACATACTGACAGAAAAAGAGCTGTCAAAAAAACTTCTGAACTATCCTTTTTGCTTGGTAGAGGTTCTCCAAAGCTTTACTCTAGACAGCGCATTTCACAAGAGACACCTACGGGCAGAGCCTGATGGGTATACACACAGTTTAGGGGAGGAGAGAGGGGAACAGGAGGGATTGCACAGAAAAAGTTCCACGGGGCCATCCCAACACCACCTCTTCTACACAGCACTCCACAGCTGCTTGCAGAAGATCCACAGCCCGTGAAGCATGCTGCTTCATTTCAAAAACTGCAGCGGTACTTCAGAACTATTCACCTCACACCCTGACATCAGGTTTTCCAAAGATGACTGATGTGGTTAAGTTGGAGA